CTGGGCCGCGCCAGGGGCCGGCGCTGGAGGCCCGGGGAGCCGCTGCGCTCGGCTTCTGTGGGACGTGGAGCCGCTCGCTTGGCTTTTTTTCCCTTTTGTTTTGGCCGGTTTGAGGGCTTTCCTCTCCCAACCGACGCCTTGCCCGGTCAGCAGAACCCGCCCGGTGGCGGGAGGTAACGCCCCGAGGTCGCCGCTCTCTCCACCACGCGATCGTGGCTGTGGAAACCTGCTCTCGGCGGGGCTCCCTCCCGCAGGCGAGGGAAATGCCGGGGCTCTGCCCCTTGCCAGACGGCTCTGGGCCCGCTCGGGTGGGTTTCCAGCTCACCGGGATTGCGCGTTTTGGGGTTTGCGATGTGCGAATCAGTGACGCGTAACGGGTTTTTTTCTTCCTTTGGAAAGCGTCTCCCGTTGCACACGTGAGGCGTGTTTGGCTTTGGCATCGTGTGAAAGCATCTGTGCGCAGGCTCTGGTCTCTCCCTTCCAGCGTCTCCCTGCGGTAACTCCTAGGCCGGCTGCTGGGCATCTGCTTCCCGCAGCTGAGGTACCTGCTGGGTGGCACACAAGGAGAGTCGTGCTCAATCCACTTCATCCACCAAGTGCAGGACGCCTTTCCTCCTTCGGAAGGTGCCCTGGGAGCAGCTTGTGTGTAGCTGGTCTCCCAGACATGTTCAGAGGAACCATCTCTGTCCAATATACTCTCGGCCTTCTCTCCTCCCTTGTGCGTCACTGTCCAACAATTTCATTTGTTATTTTCAGAGCTATTTATCGGAAAGGGGAAATTTTAAGATGGAGATTCTGGTTTCTTCCTGCAATCTTGTAGGACCTTTCCTTTCCTGAGGATATTCTTTCTTCCCTCTCTCATCCCCTGTTTGAAACTGTCTTGGTTTTGTGTTGCAGGAGTTGTTTGTTGAAACCATAGCCAAAGATGCTTACGTGTACGCTCAGCAAGGGAAAAGGAAAACTCTGCAGAGAAAAGACCTGGGTATGAGAGCCTATTTTGTATTATCCTTAGAAAATGGTTGCTAGAATAGAGGATTTTTCCACTTGTCCCAGTGTGATGAAGCAATCATAGGTGCTTCTCTTTCTTTCTCTGAAGATGGGAGAGAAAAACATCTCTTCTTCCAAATATTATGCTAATAATTTCACACACCAGCTCCAAAACAAGTAAACCTCTTTGAAATTGGTCACTGTGCTATGATGTAGTTTCAAATGCTGCTGTTTGAAGCAGATGCAAATATGGAGTCAGTTTATCTATGTTAATTGTTTTCAATTTGCTTTGCAGATAACGCCATTGAAGCTATTGATGAATTTGCTTTTTTGGAAGGTGAGTTTCTACTTGGTTTCACTTGGCTTCAATATTTTGTGTAATCTTCTTGGGAGGGAAAGAATTTAATCATTTGCAGAGCCCTCTGTTTCCACATCTTTAATAACTAATAGTATAACTTGTTATGCCCCTCCCTGAGAGGTGAAACACAAATCAAGTGGACCCTGAGACACATACAGTACTTTTAGCTAGATTTGGTTTTACTCACGTGTGATTTGCTTAAACTTTACAAAGTTACTGCATATTCCTCTGGCAGCTTGTAAACAAGTTTCATTTGTTCATGTAATTGCATTTCTGATTCCTGAGACTATAATTTTTTTTTTTTCTTTCATATTTAGGTACTTTGGACTGAGCTGGACAGAGACAGAGCTCTCTGGAGAAAGAGATTGCAGAGATGGACGTGGGGTGGAAAACAGGACCTTGAGAGTTTGAATATAGTTCCTAAAATTGAGACACTGAAATGGCAACCATAATGTTTTGTATAAAGTTTAAGTTGTTGTAAGTTCTTTATTTAAAATGCATATTTTTTCATAAATATTTTCTATGTCACTTAACTGTGCCCTGCTGCCATGGTGCAGACTGCTCACCAGCTTTGGCCAGGTCACACAGCAGTTGCTCAGAGTCACAGTCCCTGCCTCTCCAGGTACTCTGCAGCACCACAGAGCTGTGAATGGAGAGTGGCTCGGCTCAGATGCCCAGGCATGGTGAATTATTTTTATGGAAATGTGTTTTTCTTTGTATATGTTTGTTTCTTGGCTGAACACAATTAAATTTTGTTGTTGTTGTTGAACAGCTGTCCTGATTTCTCCTCTGTGCTGCTGGGATGAAGGGGATGGTGTTCCTGTAGCACCGTGGTAAATGGCGTAGTTTTGAAAGGATGCTTTCTAATAGCATTTTGCTTTTGCCAATTGTTTCCTCAAGGCATGTATCCCAGTGAAGCCCAGCTGTCCTCCAGGAACTATGTATGAGCTCCAGGGAGACTTGGCTTGTTCCTAGTGGTGTACAGCTTCCATAAATTTCTGTGATTGCTGCACCTGTAAGTAATTGTAGCCAAAAAAAAGGGCAAAAACCCTATTTTGAATGCCAGAGTGGTGTCAGATGCATTTTGCTGCCATCACCGTTCTCTTGTGTGCTCTTGTTCCTGAAACTAGCAAAAAAAATTTCCCTAGGAACTGGATCTGTTCCCTGCCACGTGCATTTGGCCAAGTCGGTGCAGAGATCCTAACTTCTGTAGTCAAGAGCTGCATGCAGCGAGCGTTCAGGACATACTGGTGCCCTCGACCGGCGTGTCTGTGAGAGTCCCTTATATCACACAAGCACCATCTGTGCCTTTACTGTTTCCAGGACTTGGGAGGCCAGTACTTTCCTACATGTATTTAACAAGCTGGGAAGAAAGATGCCTCCTCTTGACTCCAGGGCTCAGTTACACTGAAAAGAGAAAGCAGAGCGCAGGCCTCTCCGTGTGGTGGTGGAGAACAAGCTGTCGTTGCTGATGTGGCTAAGTCCTACCAGTGTTGCCATCAAAGAGCCAGCTTTGTCTCAGTTTTGGTGTTGTGGAGGAACAAAAGAGGGTTGTCCCTAGATAAAAAGGCCATTGAATGCAATGTGTGAGCATGAAGGGTGCATGTTCTTTCAAATGAGGGGACTTGAAAGTGACTCCGAGTCCCCTCAAACTTAATTAGTTTGAAAGTGGTGGTAAGAACAAAGACCCCCAAGGGAGCTTCCCCAGGCTGGGAGCAAAACCAGTTGCTCTCAAGAAACACTTTGAAGTTTGCTCAAAGCCTGATCCCTGTAGACGTGGGAGAGATGCCATCACTGCCCTGGCTGCTGAAGTGTTTGTTCAGATCACAATCTGGAGACATTTGCCAGTGATATGCGGACCCATTTGTCTCTAAGCTGTTCACCTTCTCGCCTGCTGAGGGAGGGCCCAGTATAAGTATCAGAGATACTGGAGACATTTTTGTGTTTCCCAGGGTGCAGTATGCAGGACCCACTAGCGGTAGTCGTCTTTGCAGGGCTCTTGCATGCTCCCATCTTTGCCAGTAAGTTCTTTTTTTTTCCTTCTCGCTGCTTTGGCCTCTTGCACAGGAGAGAAAAGGGCTTGTGTAGGTATGTGGTGCGAAGCTGTGCACAGGCTTTGTTCATATCTGATGCTTCTGTATGGGCATGGTGTATGTTTTCTGTGGTGCTTCACTGTCAGCACCATGGAGGATTGTCTGCACTCAGCAAATAATGAGGGGTTTGTCTCGGAGGAAGCTGCTGTGCAGAAATCTTTGGGGAGTTTAGTGCCCGTGAGCTGCTTTGTGCTGTGTGAGATTACTCCTCTTACCTGAGCTCACATTGCAGTAACGTGGGAAGTAGAAGAGAGCAGGGGACTGATGTCTTAAAATAAAACACTGCTAAACACAGCATTTTCTTGGAGTAGTTAAACAGATAGGGTGTTTAGCCCAACTAGCCAGGCCTGAGAGGTCAGATGGGTCATGTCCATTTATAACTACTCTAAATCTCTTCTTTATGCTGAAGCCATTTGGTTCAAGACAGCAGGTGGCTGGACACTTGTGCTTGGGGCTCAGTGCCTCCTCCCAGCTCACGCAGGAAAGCTGGTGAATCATAACTGGGGTAATGCTGGGCTTGGTGGTTTGCGACTGCAGGTGCCGGAGCCATCGGCAGAGAGGACGAGCAAAGGAACCTGTTTGCAGAGAGGGGCTGCTGCAGGAGGCAGAGCCATTTCCTCCACATCGGGCATGGTGAGTTCCCCCTTTGCCCGCAAGAAACCCGGATCCTTTAAGCTTCCCAACTCGTGTCCCACCTGTCATCCCTCAGGTGTTGCTTTATGTTGAAATTATCCTAGTGACTTTTCCCTCAGGCAATTAAGGACAGAAATACACTGGGGACTCATCACCCAGATAATCCAACGCTTAAAGCATGTTTTGTAGAATAGAAACTGATGAGTAGCCTGGCCCCTAGGTCTGTTCATCTGCATGAATTTCGGTACCAGGGTTCTACAATGTGGTTGAATTCTATGTTTACCTCTGTTTGGTACTGCATTAGTTCAGGCCTGCTGGAGACTTTTGCTTTCCAGGATTAACGTTGGCAGGGGTGTCAGCAAGACAACAGGGCCTCCTGACTTTACTGTGCAGAAAAAGTAGGAAGTAGCTCCATTTGTTCACCAGAAAAAAGTCTGTGGCCTTCAGGAGTAGCCTTTGGTCTCAGTTCCCCTTGCAGTGGCAGTAAGGCTACATAAAATGAGCTTCAGCTGATTTTAGCACAGATATGTGAAGATGGCTTTAAACTGTATAGCCAAAAATCTGAGGTTTCTCAGTTTTTTTCAGTGCATGAGAGTAGTACTTGTACAAATATAGCCTTCGGTGTTTGCAAAATATCAGGTTCTTATGTAAACAGTAGGAATTAGAGAATGATCATATCCAAATTAAGAACTGTCACAAGCTTGTCATCTCCAGAGCAAACAACTTTAGAAGAGTAAATAATGATGAAAATAGTAAAGCCAGTAATAGATAGTGATAAAAATAATAAACACGGCCTGTATTGCTGCAGGGATGGGAGAGTAGGGGTTAACGATGTCTTCAGCTGGCAAAGTGTCCTTTGCAAAATGACCAGCTGTCTGCGCCCTTGCTGTGGGTGAGGAGCATCCACAGGGATCACCACTGCGGAATGGCTAATACACTGCAAGTTGCTACCTGGCTCACTGCTCCCTCGCTTCCCTGGGCAAAGAAATCCTCAGGCAGCTAGCAGCAGCTATAAGCCAAATGTGAGCTTAAAATGTCCCTACATATTTACTGGTGTCATGCAGCATGCTCACAGTGGCTCTCTCTCACACTGACACTGAAGAGCAGTTTTTAAATCAATGCAAAATTAGTGGCACGCACTGGATCTGCAACTCCAGCAGGTTAAAGCAAATGAATTACCGTGGTGTAGAATTACTCAGTGGGCACTTTTAAGGCCAGTTTTCTTCCCTATTACATAATGAAATGAGGATTCACATCAATGAACCTTTTGAGTATGAACTGCACTATTGGGGAAAAATAGCTCATTTTAGAAGGATTACCAGAAGAAACAGCCATTAGCCAATAACCACTGATATTTTGCAAACTCAAAATACAGCATGGATCTAAACCTGGATGTCGTGGTCCCATGTCTCCCCTGTTCCCACACCCGTTCCCACCTTCCCATCCTCTACCTGTAGTGCTAATGTGTCAATGCAACAGGTTTGGGAAGCTGTGAAATTGGGATTTGGCAGGGGGCAGGGGAGGGGTTGGGGAGGGTGGCAGGCCAGATTTGTTTTCAGCTCAAGCAGCTCCATGAACAGGTTCATTGGGCTCTAGGCAAGGAGAGTAGGGTTTCTCTTTCTGCCTTGAATCTGTTGGGTGCTCAGGCTTGTTCAGTACGTTCGAGGTCTGCAGTTCAGCAACAGCTGAGCATTCACATTTTCCCTTTGCTAATCAATGTATCAATCTATTCTCTCCCCATCCTTCATGAGCTCACTAAAGAAAATAAAACCTACTGTTTCCTAGTGAATTTTTAATTGCATTCTTTTTATTACCAGTCTATTATGAAACATTATACTTCTGGTCTGCAAATGCAATAGATGTGTCTGCAGCACTAGTGAAGGGCTTTCTGGGATTTCTGCAGGTGCTCAGGCTGAAGGAATCTCTCTCCCAGGCACACTTTCCAGGGGTGGACCATGTATTTTTCTTCAGTGTTTGTGTTGTACTCGGCCCAGGTTTGAGCTTGGGCCTCCCCAGCCTCATGCAAATAGTGAGGAGTAATCCTTTTGTCAATTGTGTGTTTCACAGATGTCTCTGGCAGTCCTGTCAGCATGGATGTTGGAAAGTGCCGGTCCAGCTGCCTGTCCCAGCGGATCAACTCCCCTGACCCAGGCCTCCTGGGGCCCTCCAGACACTCCTCCATGCTCGATTTCCTTAGAAGCAAGAAGGTGAGAAAAGTGTGTTTGTGTTATCCCTGTGGCAGGAGCATTTATACATGTTTTAAAATACCTGGGTTTGGCTTCTGCATTGCCGAAAATCTGTCACTAAGACTCTTGTCCTCCCATAGCGAGCAAGCAGTAGATTATGCAGGCTAGAGAAATGGAAACTATTCAGCAGTGCTGAATATCTTGTGGCAGAGGGCCAGAGTTCAGCTGAAGGCCTATCACAGTACCTACCCAGCTGCTCCAGGCAGCATCCAAACATATTTCTGTCCTCCCTCAGCCCAGCAGCAACATCTGCTGTACGTGAGAGCTGGTGCCCTATATGTAGAGGGGTTGGAGGCCTTTTTCTGCCTGGCTGAGCAAAACTGGCAGGACCCATGATTTCATGAAGAGTATCTGGCCTTTGATGTGCTGATGTCATTCCCTTATCACGTGACATGTGTAACTCCTAGGAGAAACTAGAAGGAGCCTGCGCATTTGGGGACACAACTATGCACAGGCTGCGATGCTCTCCTTATCCTGGGAGAGCTGCCATTGCCTAAAGTCCCTTCTCCACCAGGGTAACTAACCCTGGAGAGGTAATGGAAACAAGCTCTGCAGGATGCTGCATGTGTGTGTCCTGTGAGTGTTCACCAGGGGGGCTGTAACTGTGAAAAATCTTGTTGCCGCTTGTCCCACTATTGTCATCACTGTGGCACTGCTGGTGCAACATCTTCCAGGCAGGCAGGTCTACATTTGTTCCCCAGAGCTGTCATTGTGCTGACCCTCCAGTTGAGGAGCCTGGGGTGAAAGGAGGACTGCTTTAGCCAGTACAGTTCAGCTGATTGTAGCAGGGGTTTGGGGAATAAACAGTTCTGATATCAATGTGTCACTGCGAAGGGCAGCACCACAGCAATGCAGTACTGCCATGCATGGACAAGGGAGTAAAAGCTGAGTCAGCTCTAGTTCAGAAGAGGTTTTTATCAGGGAGCGGATGCTGGAAGTTGTTCTCCGTGACATGTTTTTACCAGTGTATATGCCCCTTGCCCTGTTCTGCGCAGCTGCAGGTCAGGCGCCCCGACTCACCGCTGCGGCCAGGAGCCCCACGCTCCTGTCCTGCAGGTTCCTGCTGCGAGCCTGCCCGTGTGCACGTGGAGCGGCTCCTGCTCTTCGAAGGTGTTCGGGAGGTGGAGGTGGTCGACGGCTGTCACTGCAGCACATGCCCTGAGGAATGCCTCCGTCTCCCAGCTCTGAAAACCTTCTTTCCAGACTCTCCCTGGGAGGTCACAATTGATGTGGGGAAATGTTCTGACCCAACCTACAGTGCAGGTATGGATGATGGAGAGCTCCCCTCCCTCCAGGAATATGGGGACAAGCCCTTCTGTGTTACCAGCACCAACATCAGAGCTCAGAGTGTGATCTAGCAACGCTCTGGTCTGCTACGCAAACCCTCTTTGCCTTAGGTGGGAAAGGGATTGTATTTTATACTGTAGGGGTCTGGGTTTTCTTTTCCCTTCTGTGACTGCGCCCTTACAGCACAGGTCTGCAGCTGAAACAGTAATTCTCTGCCCTGTGCCTGGTGTGAGGATGGAAATACAACCACCTCGTGTTATGGGGAAGTGTCCTCTAACCAGAGATCATAGAATCATAGTAACCCAGGCTGGAGGGACATCGGGGGTGTCCACTGCAACCCCCTCCTCAAAGCAAGAAAAACAACCTGATGATAAAAGCTCTGCTGAAAATAGACCACTTAGCAACCACTAAAAAAACGGAGTTTCCTTTCTGATGGTCTGAAATGCCCTTTCATCTCAGCACCAGTGCTGTTTAAAAAATCACTCAGAAATGGAAACTCCAAACTAAATTGTTCCAGACAGGTCAAAACCCTCCACTGGGATAAAGCGGAACTGGTTCGGGTGTGCTGTCTTGTGAATTCATACATAAAATAACCCTAGAGTCACGTCAGTGAAGATGAACTGATCTGTTTTTATCAGAATGGAAAGTCGTGTTGAAATGATTTTCCACAACTGCTTGATAAAAATCAGTTCTGGAATTTGTTGATGTCATTTTTATTGGCATTTCTGCATCTAAAACCATCCTGTTAAAACCTTCCCGGCAGCTTCTGTGACATGGCTGTACAACAGCCACTAGAGAGGGACAGAGACCAGTGCGAGTCCTAATGTGAGCTTGAAAAGCAGCCACGAGGCCTGAGCCAGAGGGGCTGGGGAAGCCACATGGGTGGTGGAGAAAACAAAACCCCAAGGGGCTCTGCTTGCAGATGTGCGTCCCATCCTCCAAGAGCTGGAGTAAGGTCTGCACACAGGCATCGGTGCTCCTGCAGCCCTGTGGCTTGTGTAATCCGGCTGCAAGACACAGCAAGTGGAACAGAAATTTAGGCAGTGTGAAGTGCTTTTTTCCAGATGTGGGAGAATCAGCATTTACTTCCCAGACGTGTGACTGGAAGGTGCTGGACGATGCTGTTGTCCCCGGGGGTGGCTAATGGACGGTGGCTTATTCAGTGATAATGGCCCAGGGCTGGGAAATGTGGACTCGCCTCCAGCTTTGCCTCTGCCTTAGGGCAGGTCTCCGCACTTTCCTTCTGGATTTTCCCCTGTAAAGTCAGGCTGACACTTTCAGTGCCATGTTAAAGACTGGCAATGTCAGAGGAGCAGGGGGCCTGGAGAAGGATGTTAAAATCTCACCCAGAAATACTGGCTTCCAGAAATCAGTTGTCATTTTGTGTCCCCCTCTTAAGGCATCCCAGAGAGATTTGCTTTCAGAAAACACTTTTAACTCCCCTGAAAACACAGCCCCATCCTGGAACAAAGAAATATCCTCCAGCAGCTGATGAAATAGCTGGGAGGGGGCAGGAAACTCACAACCATTTTAAAGCCAGGAACCAAACACAAACCCTGAAGGACCTGCACCCAAGAGCTGGAACAGGGCATGACTAGGTCCTTTTTAGAGCCAAAACCCAAGACTGACTTAGCCATCAATTTAGCCATCCTTCTTCCCCTCCTCTAGCTCGTGCAATGGAGATTTTAATCCTAATTTACTTGGTGAGGGAGAGAAAAACTGAGAGATTTAGCAGATAAAGCATGTCTTTCTATGCAGAACATGCATTCAAACTGAGCCAGGCAGGACAGTGTGTGCCTGTTTCCTTCCAAATGGACACGCATTATTGCTGGAGGAGCCTCGGTCTCTCCTCCCCAGCGGGGCCCTGCCACAGAGGCGGCGTGTCCTGGCCTGGAGGTGGCACAGCAGCAAATATGCAGCCTTTCGGCATGTCCACCCAAAGCCACCCCTCTTCGCCCTGCTCTCTGCATGGCTTCCTTAACAGTCAGAGTAGGTATGTCAAAGCCGAACATAACTTTTTTTTTTTTCCCCTCGGAATTTTTCATTGAGTTAAAGCTTGAATAGGGAAAGAAAAGGCAAAGCAGGACTTGGTCCTGTGCTCCCAGAACCAGGGCCATTCTCTTTCCTCCCCTCTTGTATCAGCTTTCCTGTGTCCCACGATGCAGAGGTGCTGCAGGATATCTCCAGGAGAGCCAGTGACACTGGCTCCAGCACCTGAGAAGCCCATGCAGGGCACAGCCCCCTGGCAAATTCAGAGAGAAATGCTGAATAAGTTAATGTTAAATAATGTTCCCCAGCTCCTCCCTGGTGTGAGAGCATGTCTCTGGAAAAAGCACTGCCATGAATATTTTATGTTCAAAGACCTTTTTTCTCAAAGATAATGTGTAATAGCTCAGGCTGTCTCCCCAGAGATGGGGCTTTCACAGTCAGGTGCAGGATTCACAATTTGCACCCAGAATAACCTCTTTTTGCCCTGTGGTCTCAAACTGAAATGGACGAACAAAATCTATCACTGAGGCCCTGAGCTGGTGAAGGAATGAGTCCCAAACTCTCAGCTGGGGACCCTCACACAGAAAAATGGCACTTTCCACGCCGGGTGCTGGACGCCGGAGCCTGATGCTGCATCTGTGCCACACGGCAGACCCTGGTGAAGATGCTGCAGCCATAGTGGTCTCAGATGCAGCCCCAGATTAAATTTCCTTCTTGTTTCCTTGCAGGTGGACTTTTCTGCATGCCCACAAGGTTCAACACTGCTCTAGTCAAAAACCCACAAGGTGGGGAGGTAGTTCAGACGCTGGAGAACTGTGAAATGAAGGAAAAATGCTATCGCATTTCCCAGGTGGAATATTATTATGAAATTGTGCACAGCTCTGCAGGACACAGGGAAGAGCGGCTCAAGGTTGGTTTCCCGTGGCTTGGCCTCCTCCCTGGTGGGCTCAGCAGCACAGCTGAGCCCACACGTGGGGTTTGAACAGCAGGGTGGATGCTCTCACATGGGCAGCTTCACCCTGGTAGAGCTAAGCACACCCTGGCAACAAACTGTAGTGGTAAAAATCTCATATTTATTTTATCTTATGCTATAAAATGTATGTACTGCCACTAATTTGTGTATACATCAGTGTCATAAAGTAACAAATGGCCTTTTCTTTGGAGTGAGGATTTCTTAAAAAATAATTGAGGGAGCAGTGAGATATTTATTTTAAAAATTGTTTAATCATTATGTATGTCTTAAGCTCAGTTCAATGGAGACTCTACTCTCTACTTCAACACACCTTTGTGCACAGGGCCCTCTGACTCAGAAAACACTGGTGTGCCCCAAAATACTTGTCCTTACAAGCTTTGCCTTGCTGCTGCCCTTTCTCAGGGGTGTACATTCAGCCAGAGGATGGAGGGCGGACAGAGGGCACAGTGACCACGGCCGGTCCCCTGGGGTGTCCCCAGTGAGGTGCTGCAGGGGATTTTCATGCCTTTGTTTTGCAAATCTTTGCAGGAAATTGATGTGGGAAGGTGCTTGGGCAGCTGCTCCTCGGGGGATCCCTGCTTGCTTAGGTAAGCACAGCTGCAAGGATCCGGCGGTTCTTGTTCCTGGGCACATCCACACACATTCAGAGGCAGGTCTGAACCGTTCCCATTCCTCTCAAGTAATGCATCTGCTGCTCCTGGGGCAGGACCTGGGAGGATAGCACAAGAGTGGATTTTGGGTAGCGCACCCACAGCTCATGCTCTGGGCTGTGTCTAACCATGTAGGGACAAAGCAGAGCAGTGTTAGCAGCGGTGCTACAGCAGCACACTGCTCCATTGCTTCAAGGAGTAAAGAATAACCTGCTGACGGCAGCCTGTTGGGCAGCTGGTTATAGAGCTTGTGGTCCCCTGTGATAGCAGACATAGATGGGTCCTGACAGTGGCTTTCTCCAGCCTGGGATGTGCTATTCCTGCTGCCCACCTGCTGGTAATGCCATGGGGCAGGAGGAGGGGGATGCTCTGGTACAGGGTGGGTGCAGACAGCTCTTCCAGGCCAGGGGGGTAGCACTTTGTGTTCTTTACAGACACAAAAATGTAGTGAATGCAAAGGGAAGCAAGTCAAACCACAAAGAAAGAAATAACTCCTGCTTTGCACAGGCAGAGAGGGAGGAGACAGTTCCCCGAATTACACCAGGAGTAAGGAATAGATGCTTCAGGAAGAAAGCTGCCTCCCTTCTCCCCCACCCTGGTCCAGGGCATCTGCCCTTTTTTCCAGGTGATGAAACGCAGGGCCCTGGGGTGTGGGGGGCCAGGGGATGTACTGGGTTTGTCTCTAACTGCAGGGAGTCACAAGGTGAAGATAAATGTCTGGTTTGGGCAGAAGCTGCCCCCAGCCGCTGCGCCCCTCACCGCTATGACGTACACACGTTCAGGAGCCGCCGAGACCGCGTTCGCACCGTCATTGCCATCCAGCAGTGCAAGTGCAGGGGGTAGTGGGGCTGAGGAGCTGCAGGTGGGGCTCCTGCAAGACCCCCGCCAGACTGTCTGTAGTATATGTAAATGAGAGAAGGCTATTTTTTGAATAAAAGCTATTTTAAACAGCGCTTGTATAAATGAACCCTCTACAAAATGTTTTGCAGCTTGTACAATAAACATGGGCAATTCACAGCTCCTTGGGGGCTCTGCTGTGCAGCTCCATGGCCCATCTGTCTGCCCCAGCATCCCGGGGGATGCAGCGTGTACGGAGGGATGCGGCTGTCTGGCATTGGCTGGGGGTTGCACGGCCCTGGCTGCTCCCGTTTACAAAACGTGGAGCAGGAGTCGGAGAGGGGAGGGAAACAGGTAGGTAGGCATGTTGGGGCAGAGATGTCCCCTCTGCAGGCAGCCCCAGTTATCCTGCAGGACATGCCGCTGCGGTTGGTGAGCCAAGAAGAGGAAGGCAAGGATCCAGAGGATATGAGTAGTTTCCTCTATCACTTAGTCAAGGCTGTCATTGCCTCCCTGCCTATTCTGGATAATTAACAGCCCTTTCACCCACCAAGCATTGGGTTAGAATAAATTATAGACACCGACTGGGCAAGTAGCCGTCGGCTTGTCTCCTATCGCCTTGGCCTGGAAGTGCTTCAGCTAGGTGCCTGCGGGGCCGATCCCTGCCTGCTTGGTCCCTGCTGGCAGATGGACAGATAGACGGTCCTAGCTCCGTTCCTGCACCTTCCCTTCATGTCAAGCCTCTCGTAGAGCCCGTACCTGTGGGCCTCATTCACAGGGAATTTCCCTGTTTGCTATAAGATCTAACAGGCTTTTCTAATCCTGCTTTTTTTATCTGATGCACTGGCAGGTATTGTATAATGCTAATTTTTTCTGTTCAGTCACATGGCATTAAAACAAATGGCAAATGTAAAGAGTCCAAATGTACTGTGTCAACACATCCACCTTCACCAACCCGGTTTCTCTGTGACTGGGGACTAAGAACAGAAGAACTGGCTTTTATCCTATCATCTGGAGTCTGTAGGGTTCTCATGATATTTCGTTAATATTGAGCTTTCAGGAATTGGCAGCAAATGCCTTTTAATCCCCAGAAAGTCAATTGGCTACTTTAAAAAAAAAAAAAGCAGCTTAATTTTGGTTTGGTTCTTCCCGCTGCTGAGTTACTGCCACAGCCCAGGGTCCGACAGCGCAGCGGATGGAAGCTGCAGACCCCAGGGCCGCCCGTTCTCCGCTGGAAACCCTCTTTGCACCGTGCTCTTGGCTGGCTGGGCTCCTTTGCATGGGTGTTGCAGCATCAGGGGACATGCGGCCTGGGCTGCCCCTGCTGTATGAAGGGTCCCCGGGCACCTTGGTAGGGCTGTGGGACGGGGACATCGGTGTGACACCGAGCCCACCCGGCAGTGGCCGTGACGTGGGGCAGCAGGAGCTGCTGCAGCAGGACAGGGATGGGAAGGGGCTGCTCCTCCAGCCCGTTTGGCTGTTGGGGGGGGGGCTGCATTCCTCCACACAGAGGTTCTCCTGTTTGTCCCATTAGTGCCATCATTAAAAACCAGTTAGTCTCCTACAGAGAGCAAACGCAGCCCAGCCAGGGCCTTGCGGAGGGGCTGCGCAGCCCCAGACCCCCGTGTCCCCTGCCAGCCCCGGGGAGCGCTGGGGCGAGCTGTCCTCCCCCCTCCCCGCTTGTGTACTGGGGCTAATTGGTGCTGGGCACCCAGGAGCCCAGTTTCACACCTTGTTAGCATGGCAATTAGCTCTCTTTACCCTCCTGATTGCTCTTGTGCATACTTGACTCCACTCCATCTTTCCAGCGAGTTATAAATGCAGCGCTGGGGAGGCAGGGGGGAGTCTGGCTGGGGCAGGGACACCAGAACCATGCTGGGGACCATCCTGCTGCTGCTGGCCCTGGCCAAGCCGGCGTGCCAGAGTCCGGCCGGCGCAGCAAGCCGGCGGGCTGAGGCGCTGAAGAGGCTCCTGGAAGTCTTTGGCATGGAGGACCCTCCACCCCCCCCGGCCCACTTCAAGCAGCCGCCCCAGTACATGGTGGATCTATTCAACACCGTCGCCAACGCGGACGGTGTCACCAAGAACCCCGACATCCTGGAGGGCAACACGGTCCGCAGCTTCTTGGAAAAAAGTAAGGGCGGGGGGACAGGGCGGTGGGAAGGGGCCCAGCGCAGCTGGCAGAGGTGCTGCCCCTGGTTTGGCTCCGCTTCTCAACCCGTCCTTCCCTCCAGCTCACAGTGAGAAGATGCGGTTCCTCTTCGTCCTCTCCAGCGTGGCCAAGTACGAGAAGATTCTGATGGCAGAGCTGCATCTCTTCCGCCTCTGGCCAAGGGCCACCGACGGGCCCAAAAAGCACCACTTCTGCCAGGTGAGGAGGGGGATGGGATGGGGATGGGGATGGGGATGGGGATGGGGACAGGATGGGCATGGGGCTGGGGACGGGTATAGGAATGGGGATGTGCCCCAACCTGTGCCCGGGGATGCCACTGGCACACTGCGGTCACTTGCCTGCAGCGGGAGCACGGTCTGGGTCTGTGAAATTCATACGACTGAATGTCGCTGCGTTGCACAGAGAATCATGATGATTTAACCATGGGGGATTCTTAAACATCATTCTGGTTTGTGCATGCACCAGCCAAAGCACCCGTGGGTTGTGACAAATCCAAGCTGACAACTCCCCCATCTCCCACCTTTTTTTTTCCCCAATACCTGTGTCTGGTGTCTTTCCCCTCAGGAAAAGGGGACATGCTGGTGGTAACTGCCCTTTGCTGCCTTTCCCAGGTCAGCGTCTACCAAGTGCTGGCAAAGAACGAGCTGGACGCCCCCGGAGGGAAGAAGCTGCTGGCAGCCAGGCTTGTCTCGCTCCAGGGCTCGGGCTGGGAGGTCTTTGCCATCACGCAGGCTGTGAGTTGCTTTTCCCTTGGTTTGGGTGGCACAGAGGGAACCCTGGGGGTTTGCATGCGGGAGGTTTTTTTAACCCATTTCACCCCCAGCAGCCTTTCGGGCTCCAATGCAATTTCCTATCTGTAGTCTTTGCAGCAGTGTGGGGGGGATAGAGCCTCTGGGAGGGGGGGTGAGAGCCCTGCCAAGAGCCCCAGGGGGCTGCTCCATCCTGCCCCAGACTGGTCCCACTGCTCTGCAGGTAAGGCTGGTGCTGGCTCCTGCCGTGACGTCCCCTGTGCTGTAGCCCTGGAGCAGCACAGCCCCTTCCCATGGCTGGGAGATGGAGTGTGGCCACAGGGAGGGGGTCCGGGTTCACACCACCCCGCTGCTGACAGAGCGCTGGGTCCGCTGGCCTGGCACCTGCCATAGGGACACCAGCATAGTGCTTGTCCTGGCCCGCGGTGCCATGGTGACACCGGTTTGGTTCCCCAGGTTCGTGACTGGATGGAAGACGAAAGCAGCAATCAGGGTTTGCTGGTGACGGTCCAGGGCCTGGGCGGGAGCCCGCTCGACCCCCCACCGCTGCAGTTCGCATCCAGCAGGGACCACCACGAGAGCAAGAAGCCCATGCTGGTCCTGTTCACGGATGACGGGCGCCGGGGAGCTTCCCTGCCCATGGCCGGCTTCCCAGGTGGGTCCCACAGGCCCTGGCACGGCTCCCTTGGTGCCGCCGTCCCCTCGCCCATGGGGCACTGGGGTGCTCCCTGCAGGTGGGCTCCTTCAAATCCAAAGCTCCTTCTCTGGCCAGAGGGAGAGGCCGTCTCCTTTCTGGTTTAGTCTGTGCAGGCTTGCAGATGTAAATCTGGATTTTGCTTGCCCTGATGAGTGTGGCCATGGGGCTGTGAGTTGTCACCTCCTGGTGGCTCTGCCTGGGCTGGTGACAGGCTGTGACTGAAGGGCTCGCTGTACCAGACGGCTGCAGAAAAAAACCTGTGGGGATGGGTGGCTGGGGGGGGGCTGCAGCATGTTCTCCCTCCTCCCAGGCTTGTGCGATGGCTAATGGCATCAGGTGCTTCTTTCTGGCAGATATACAGCCCCAGGCTCCCATTGTCCCTGCCAAGATGTCAGTGCCCAGGCTGACCGGGCCTCGCAGCACGCGCTCGCTGGACCGGCTCCAGCCTTGCCAGAAGCATCCCTTGTCCGTGGACTTTGAGGAGATTGGCTGGTCCGGCTGGATCATCTCACCGCGGGGGTACAACGCCTACCACTGCAAGGGCTCCTGCCCCTTCCCGCTGGGCGAGAACATGCGGCCGACGAACCACGCCACCGTGCAGTCCATCATCAACGCCCTCAAGCTGAGCGAGGGCGTCAGCAGCCCCTGCTGCGTGCCCGACAAGCTCTACTCCATCAACCTCCTCTACTTCGACGATGATGAGAACGTGGTCCTCAAGCAATATGACGACATGGTGGCTGGGAGCTGCGGCTGCCACTGAGGCAGGAGGAGAAGGAAGGTGGAAATGCCGCCCCAGCGTAGGCTGCTCCTACTGCTTCCAGAGCATCTCTGGGGGGGGTCTCTGTCCCACAAAGCCCTCTAAAAGAGACCAGGGTGAGCAAAGCAAGGGGGTGCCCGGCTCTGACCCAGGTGGTGTCACCCCTGGTAGTGCCCGGGAAGGCTCAGGGCTGAGCTCTGATTAGAGCGACCTGAATGAGCCCATGCAACTCGGCAGCCCCGGGGCAACAGCTCCATTTTGGGGTGCCCCGTGCGGGGGTGCAGGTTTCCTTGCCCGTGCAGAGGCTTCCCGCAGGCTGTACTATATGTATATAGCAAGAGCACTAATATATGACAGAAACTGCCTGTACAATGACCTGTAAATGTCTGTACATTTCTGCATTGTGACTTGTAAAATGAATTCAGAGGAACTATTAAAAGTGCCGTTTTCCAAGGGGCTGCTTGTGGGACCGCTGCCTGGGACAGAGCTGGCCAAGGGCGAGCAAACACCCTGCAGGCATAGGGAGGGGTGCTGCAAGCAGAGAGATGAAGATTCAGCTGCAGTGCAGTCTCCAGGGTCAGGGGGAGGTTTGGTTGGTGAGCCCTGTTCCTTGGAAGCTGAATGATCTCA